GACTCTCCAAGGATGCAGCTTCTGCTATGGGTAATTATAGGCATGCTAAGTCAGTAAGATAACTTTATGGGCAACAGCTGGGTGACTGGGGAGGTTGTGCTGGGGGCTTGTTTCTCTCCTCCTTCCTCTCTTTTGGGTTTGTTCGTTTTGTGGGCCACCTCTTGGTAATAATCAGTTTTGTTGAGCTTTCAATGGTGTCATGGTTTCAGGCTTCAGTATGACCCAAACCCTCCCTAATAAAAGGAGAGAGACTGTTTTATTTCTGGAGAAGAAAAAACTCCACCCCACAAAAAAGCCTCCTCCCAAACAACAAAAAACCAATCAATTACCAATTTCCCAAATAATATAATATCTCCTCCCTCTATGCACAGTATATCAGTAATTTTACTGTGATATTACTGTTTGTAGCAATTAAATAAAGTACATAATAGGTCAATCATAGAGCTCTCAATGATCATCTTTACATATTAAAGTCAACAAATGCACTCACAAAACAGCTTGAAGTCAGCAGCATTTGTAAGAGGGTTCTCAACCCATACTCCCTTCCAGTCCTACAGTCACTTGAATGTGGCATGTAGCTTTCTGTCATATTTTTTACTCCTGCCACCTCTTTTAGTTCTGTGCGGTAGATATCAGATACCAGATAGTGAATAAATACAACCTAATTACAACTAAGTCAAGGGAAGAGAAAGGGGAATAATCAGTAGGCCACTAGAGACAGTGCTGACACTAAGTTTTTGGCAGGAAAAGCATTACTGTAGAAAACTACACAGCTGGGAGTTACTACCAGAAAAGTGTTATGCATCTTCCTTCTGGAAAGCAAATCGTTAAGATTCTTAAAACACCTTTGGTAAGCTTGGGACAGAGCAGTCGACAAGTTCTACACCAATTTGACTGAAACCCTGGGACTGAGGACAAAGTATGGGTTCATGATACTACTTCCACTAGACCTCAATGAAGACATTCTGATGACACTGTCAACCACACAAGAGTATCCATGAATACAGTGACATCCAAAGTGTGCTGTTTCCACTGAATGATACTTGGTGAACGCTTAAGGTGACACACAGGTCAGCTGTAAGGATTTTTCTCTTTCTCATGTAAACAAACATTTAAGGCTGAAACATTCCAGGATGTCAAGAAACAAGCAGATTTCCACAGTGACCTTGGAAAATATGAAAGGCTAACAAAGTATACAGAACCTCAGCTTTTTGATTAAAGGCTTTGGCTTCTAACAGCCTAGAATAGACAAATAGTACCTTTCTTCAGCATAAGAAGCAACTGGAATAATATCCTTTTCCCAGAAATCTTTGGAGCTTTATTTACTGAAGCCAAGTAATAAATGGTTTTCTGATCTTTGCTTTTTCTTTTTAAGAATTCCCTGAAGAGGGATGAAGGTACTTATTTTTGTTGATATGAACCATGTAAACTCGAAGATTCAACAGTGTCAGGAACTATTACTACTTAGCTGTCTCCTTTTAGCTTACAAAGTCTCTCCTAAGAGCCTGAAAACTGATCTGAGGTTCTTGTACACCTCAAGCTGAGTCAGATGCATCTGACTACACCACAGCTTGTGGAGTATAAGGATTTTGATGATGGAAATGAGAGGGCTGTAGTCAGCATGGTCTGCCTTAGCAACAGGTCATTATGGTTGACCTTGACTTTCAACAAGCACATACCAATCCTCATTTAGGGGAAAGGAAGAGAAGGAATAGTAAGAAACCCCTGAAGGCCACACAGAAAATACAGTGCATTCCTAGAAAGTAGAATAATTTTGCTGTCTAGCCAGTCCTACAGCAGAACCCATTGCACTGGTCTTCTCTCACCCCTGAACAGAAGAGTGCCTTGTAGCCAGAGACTGCCAGCTCTCTCTTGTGCCTAAATAGTGCAAAGGGGGGCTGTGCAGACACCTGGTCTGTGTTTACCAATACACTGAGCTTTGTGTCAGGAAGCAGAATTTAAAAACACTTCTAGGCAGAGCCCAAAGAGAGTATCCTCTCCTGCGCTTAAAGCTATACCCACCAACACTAATTCCAATTCCTTTCTTCTATTGTAATACAACAACTATATTATTCTACTAACACAACGAACCAGGGAAATACCTGAAGGCCCAGTTCCAGAGAAACTTTCAGAAGAGTGATGTCTGGCAAGCTGTCCATGAGTGTTGCTATTTTAAATGCATCCTGGGCAAGTTTGAAGATGTGTGATGAGGAGTGTATATTTTTCTGGATGGATTCTAACACTGTTTCCAGTCTCTGAACATCACCTGCAAGGTGTAAAAAGAATGACCAAAATAGAACATGATCCCAAAACACCCAGAGATGCATTATAACTGAGCTTGTGATTGCTGTGCAATAGTATGATGTTTCAGTTATATACATCTTGTTTTTAGAAACCTTCCATACTTAATCACAAACAAATGAAAGATATGCACCCTTTTTGTTGCACACAACTCGTCTAGTGTCTGATGGTGTTAGGACCAGAAGTCATTTTGATTTCTGAATTTTAGAAGTGATTTGTTGACTCTTAGGTCTCACAGTCAATGCCATATGTCAGAAAAACAAAAAGCTGTCTCATCAGACTCAAACCAAGGTCATCTAGATACCACCTAGCTAGCTTAACTACTAGAAAATTATGTGACAGGTTTAAGTCAGTTCAGTTTGTTGTACCCATTTCAAGCTCATGTCAGATTGTGATTTGGATTCCTAAATACTAGTTTTATAATCTGTTTACTCCATGCAATATTAAAAGCATACATTTAGTTCAGTACATAACTGACAGCAACGTACCTTTGGCTGCTGTCAGCATGGTTGACGCCAGCTCACACTGCTGGGATTCGATGTGACTTAGGGTGAACCAGCGGGGATACCGGTTTGGAACAACAGATGCAATGTGGTGAGGGCGGGACATGTCTCCTGAAGGACTTGTAGATTCCAGTACCAGCAACCTGAAATATGAGAGAAATAATAATAATGGCCAGTCTTAACAAGCGAAGATTTGGGAAAGGTCATTGACCCTTCAAGCCTGCGCAGTGGATTTTTTAGGTGAGACACAGCGTGCGCTGAACTGAGCCCACCCTTTAATCCTGAGGTTCATCTGCCGGGGCCGAGC